TATTCAATGAAGATTTAAATTTAACTAAGAACTGGTCAGTGAATCCATCAATGTATGATCCAGTTATTATTTTAATATCTACCGGTACCTGGAATTCATAAGGAGCGTGGAAGACGCTTGATTGGCAAAACATGCAGAGATCGTCTTCTATCATCACATGGCTTATTTTCACAAATTCAACCTATTGAACCTGATATGAATAATCAACTAGCTTGTTTTTTTGTAACCGGATTATCAAAATTACCGTTAAATGTGCTAATTACTCGGATTATGAACCATATGGTCGATTCTCACTAATGACTGTTATTGTAGCCGACAAGCAAGTTGATTGACTACTTAAATATACATATTGGACATTCGATAACGAGTTGGCAGTTCTCACTATAATAGTTGATCCACTATGAGACGAGAACTAAGCGAATGAAATTTTCGCCTAGCCTCTCTCATCATAATTACTAAAGTCAATACAATAAACAGCATAGTCCGGATTATCCATTTAATCGTTACATCGTGAGGGAAAGTTATGCAGTAAATTGGCTCACAATCCACTAAAGATCACAGTGATGCCATCTAGAGTTGATTATGGTCTGGATAAGTTAATTAAAGTGCACATAAGATGGTCCCGGAAACTTCGAGATACGTGTAGCCAATGGTTACTATATCCACTTTACGGCAAGTTCACGCCAATCTGGTTGAAATTAATTCAGTTATCTTCACTCAAAGTCGTAAAAATAGACCTTCCGTAAAAACGGCTTTGCCAATTATCGAAAACACTCTTAATCCCCTCAGACGCCAGTGACGTCACAGTGACTGAATGCATATTCGGAATGTTTATTCCTTAATTACCTATATACAGCCGGCGTGTGTATTCTTTAACGCCTGAAGGATTCCTTAATCCCCCTAATTAAATAAAACAATTGACTACGGAATAATTTGTTTTGTAATTCATTTTAATTTAAGATCCAATTTAGAGTGCCTACAACTTTTAAACTTTGAAGTCCTGAACTCTTAATTAATTTTTTACAATATGGAACTTATTGGACGAACACTTTTAATATGTAAGTAATATACGGGTCCAGCGATGTGGTGTTTACTGCGAGCACTTCGCTTTTCCACATAAAGTGTAGTGTCGTTAATATTTGTCATTAATTAATCAATCCGACTATAAAAGTTATACAGGCATGGGTCATAAATTAATTTCAAGTTGGTGTTAAGAGTGAGTGTTAGTGGGATTAAGAATGTTGATTAGGAAATGGTAGAATCATACACACACATATTAATTGTATAAAATAATTAAGTTTTACTAATAAGTTGTTTAAAATTACTATATACCCAAAAAACACATACTTATGGAAAAACAGCTACTTATTTATTTGGGCGACGTTTCGAAGAGTATTTTCTCAACGTTATCAAGCTAATACAGTCGCCCAAATAAATAAGTAGCTGTTTTTCCATAAGTATGTGTTTTTTATGTATTGCTCTACCCAGTTACTAAATGCCTCTTAAAGATTATTATCGCCATCAATATGGAGATGTGGCAGTAACCTCTATCAATACAGTCAACAGGTTAGAGGGAAAATATGTTAAGACGAAGTGTAACCTCACGTTCCTGATGCGATGCAGAGACAACAACATCATCCCCAAAGGTCTACGCCTCAAGTCCCCTGTCCAGTCAGCAGCAGCTATCAGAATACTAGAAAGAGCCAGCAAAGGACTTGTTAGGGAACGCATCCAACATCACCGAAACACCAAACATCGCCTTAGCAACCAGTATGAAGAAGAACTAACAGGACTTAGAGATCTCCTATCTCCAGCAGACTACCACCAACTCCGATCTAAACAGCTGAAATCGCTAGATGTTCTCAGAGAGACTACTCGTTCCAACCAACTAAAGAAGTTCAAAAACCTTAAAACCACAAAACCTGTTATTCCTACTACCAAAATAGCCAAAGATGAATACTTAACGAAAACAGTCATCAACCTCAGCAGTCGGAATCTAAGCGATGATCAGATCACACTCCTAAGTAAAGGACTAAAGTTTGTGCCATCCCACCGATCTGCCAACCAAGACCTTCTAATTGCGAATATCGAAAGAGGGTTGAGACAGCTGGCACCCGGTGGAAAGATTGACTCCCTGAGACATCAAATTACCGATCTGATAACCAAATCCAAGATGCGACGAGGTGCCCACAACCTGAACAAGTCCCAAAACACCGCCCTGCAGGAACTGAAGAAAGACCATAACATCACAATAGTAGCTGCTGATAAAGGGAAATCCACTGTTATAATGGATAAGACTGACTATCTCAACACGGTATCTCATCTACTGGCAGATAAAGCCACCTACAGGAGGATTAGGAAAGATCCCACCCACAGCTATAGCGATAAACATACTGCCCAGTTATTGAACCTGAAAGAACAAGGAAAACTTACCAACCCATTATTCTACAAGCTCAAGCCATCTCATCCCAGACCTCCATATGCCAGAGCCACGATTAAAACCCACAAGAATCCTATTAAAGCCAGACTCCTAGTATGCTCCAGAGACTCTGTATTTTATAATACAGCGCAACACCTGTCTAAACTCTCCCCATTAGGTAAAGAAGCCCCTTCGTTCATAAAAGACTCTAAAGATTTCTGCGAAAAACTACAGGACCAACCACAAGACATACAGATTCTATCGTACGATGTCATCGATCTTTTCACTAATATTCCTCGAGATGAAGCCATTGAAGCACTACGCCACAGATTATCTTCCCTAGAGAACCCACTTGACACCAAACTCAGCACGGAAGACATCATTAACCTCACTAAATCCTGCATTGATTCCACCTACTTTTCCTGGGGAGATGATTTTTACGAGCAAGTACATGGATTACCCATGGGAAGCCCCTTGTCCCCAGTCCTCAGCAAGATCTATATGACTAGTTTTGAAAAGGATGCCCTATCCACTTCACCGGTTCAACCTACAGCTTGGCTTCGTAAGGTAGATGATATTTTTGTCATTCTCAAACAGAATGAAGACCCCAACCTCCTCCTCATCCACCTCAACAACCAAAATAACAGAATAAAATTCACGATAGAAAAAGAACAGCACCAATCCCTCCCGTTCCTGGATGTCCTAGTTAAGAGATCTGCTGACAAACTAAATACCAGCGTATATAGAAAGCCCACACATACCAACCAGTACATCAATTATAAGTCGAATCATCCGCACAGCGTAAAGAAAGCTACTGTATCCACTTTAGCGCGCAGAGCCGTGAACATCTGCGACAAAGACTACATCAGAGCAGAACTTGATCACATTGAAACATCTCTAACCAACTTCAATAACTACCCCCGACAATTAGTGCAGAAAACTATCAAAGCCACCACCAATCCTCCTACAGATATTAGCCAACCTAAACCAGATAAACCACCAGTGAGAATAACAATACCTTTTCAAGGCAAACTATCGTACCACCTCAGAAGACTCCTAACCCCAACAGGCATCCAGGTAACATTTTCCAAAGGAAGAACTCGCAAAAATCTCCTGAAGGCCAGTGGCAAACTTCCCCCAACCAAACAACTGAACCCAAAAGAATGTGTTTCTGAAATAACCTGCACGTGTGACAAAAAATACATTGGAGAAACTAGACAGCCTTTAGACAAGAGAATCAGTCAGCATAAATCTAAATCCTCTACTACCAATTCAGCTGTGGCCCAACACACACAATCCAACCCAAAGTGGTTTTTAGATATACAAGAACTTTTAATTATTTTAAATCTGTTTTAAAGTGACGTTTAGATATACAAGAACTTTTTATTATTTAGTGTTTGTACCTAACTTCTATTTTTTATTTAAGTAAATAACTTAATTAAATCAACCTGTCCATAATATCATGCATTTTGTATTGGACGTTAAATTTGTAATAAACAACAACAACAACAACATTGACAGTTTAATCACTCACCAAACGGCACCAGGAACTCCACGAATGATCCCATGCAATTTTCGCGGCGAAGTTTAACCTCATTTACTACACCCGTAGTACATGGAACGGTACATGATAATAAGATACCAAGCGTTGATTGGCAGAGAAATGAGTGCGATCTATTGTACATGTTATGCATAGTCATCGGAAAATTCCATATTCACTGTAGTTGTTCTTTATGTATAGAAATGGTTATTATTATCATATATAGCTAATAATGAATATATCGACAAATGACTGGCACCATTTGTATTTCTGTACTTAAGTTTGGGGTATCAAGTATTACGGGGTTATCCAAATTACCGGTAAATGCGCTAATTTCTTGAGTTATCTTCATTTTTAAACAAAGGCAGCTTAAATTGATCTACGGCATGATACGGCATTTTAAATTCACTCTAAAATATTCCAATCACAAATGTCTAATCTATACCAATGAAAGACGATAATTCGGTGATTATGATTAGGCCAGTCACGTGGTAATTGGACCGTCAATAGACGCTTGTCCAGTTGCCGTGTGTATTGATAGTGCTATATTGTACATACAGTGAGATATTGTATAGATAATGTATATCCTATGTGTAGTGCCTGTGACGTCACCAGCCAATCAACCGGATTAAGGTCGTAATTGAAAAATTGAAAAGCGTTTTGGCGTGTCGGATACTTAAACGTTAACAGCAGACTTAATTTTAATCAGATTGGTGTGAACTTGCCGTAAAGTTGATATAGTAACCATGGGCTATACACACATGCAATTTAGATTTTTGATCTTACATGGTCTTTAATGTCTAATTAATAATTTAGATAACATTTCAGGCCTAAAGAAAGACCAGCAACAGACAGATTTAGCTCTTGTATAATGTATGTTTAATATGATTAATTAACAAGTAATAATTAACCTGTTGTAACAAAAGACAGTCGATTAAGAACAGTGGTTCACACATATTACACCAATGAAATCAATCAATATCTGTAAGATGCAATATATTTTTATAAATATAAAGGAAGTTTCAGTAGAAAAATACAAACCTTGTTTTAAACTACATTTTGACTCAACCTGGATTGAAGCTCGATCTGGAAAAGAAGTTCTATCTACACATAACCATGATACTTGAAAATCTTCTGCTGATACCTTAATAATGGTAAACACTTGCTGTTTTGGTTGTTGGGGTTGACTACTGACACTATAAAGTGAAGAGTTTGTAGATATACATGTACCAACATCTCCTCCTGTTGTTTTAAAACAATTAATTACATCAACAGGATTAGTTTCATCATCCCGAAACCAATATATATCATTTGTTACAGGACCGTTTACATTACATGTTAGAGTTTGTGGCTGTCCTATATTAGTATTAGATTCACAAGATACTGTCGTCTGTGCATCACCTAAAATGAACAAAATAACTAAATTACATGTAGAAGAATGTGCATTTAATATTTGTTTGGATATAACTGGGTATTTTTTAAAAAAAGAGGGTGCCATGCAAGATATACCCACATTTTCAAGAGATGGACGGAAAACATTGGAAATTGATAGAGCTTATCATCCCAATGCTTCACATCGAATTTGAACAAAGATAGGTTGCGTGCAATGAAACATACGCCCACAGCAGCTAAATCGTCCGAGCAGTCGACAAGGGTTGTAACACATTTATTCTTTTGTAGATAATTGTTGAAATTTGACCGGCTTTTTCATTTTACTAATTCAAATAATGCATATAAATTTCATACAGTTTTGCCATTTGAACGTTCACAAGTTCAACAAATTAAAATAAGGGCCATAAATTTAGAAGTAATCGACAGAAATTGCTGACATTCAATACAGATTGGATGATAACTTTCATCATATGAGCATTCACAAGGTTTAACAGGTTCCAAATGCTGGTTTAAACAGTGAATAGAAATTAACCAATTGTAATTGTCTCTTAACAGTTTCGAAACACTTTTGTTCACACCCAGTTTCGCACTGGCACCAACCACCATAAACCCAATTAACTTCGATTCTAAATTAGTTATTCCTAATTCAGAAAAATGCATCACGAAGGCAGTTAGTTATTCTATAAAGTACACGTAATACTTTTTCCTGAACTGATCACACTGCCAGACGTAGATATAGATTCGTTGTTTATGCAAACAACAGTTTCGGACAAGTGCCCAGGAGCAAACACACACCGGGAGTCAATTCAAACTGTCACACCGATAAAGGTCGATGATGGCCATTTGAAATGGTTACAGGGTGATGTTCGTAAGTCAAGGTCAAATGTTTAAAAACTGACTTTGAAAAGTTTGAGTTCTCTGCATCTTCTCTGCTTTCACCCCGGATATTAACCTCGAATATACAGCAAGAAGAAAGGGCGTAGCACATATAAGCACAATGGTCCAGAGCTCGATAGGAATTTTGAAGTCAGGGTCAGCGTCAAGGTCACATTGATATTCATATGTAAAGGCCAACCCAAATAGTCAACGCCAAATAGTTGTTTATAAAAAATAGTGGCTTAGCGCAAAAATAATACCAGCGGCTGCCAGGCAGGATACGCCCACATTTTCCAGAGATGGATAGAGAAGAAAGTAAAAAGAAAGTGATTTTTCCTACAATCAGGGGCCATAATTCAGGAAATTACAATTCGATATGCGCAAATATCGAAAAGAACTGAGATTTTTGGATTATAAACTTACATTTCAAGTTTCAACAAAATCAGATAAAAATTGTGACCTCTATAGGGTCCACAACCTTGATATACTATATTTTTAACCTATTTGAGAAAGAACGGTGGCCATTTTGTCTGTCAATTTTGTCAGCCATCCTTAGGGTGTAACGGTGATATACTAAAACGTTTTTTTAAATCATTATGACCTCTATAGGGTCCACAATCTAAAAACGCTATTTTTCGTACAATCAGGGGCCATAATTCAGAAAGTTATGGTTCGATATGCGCGAATATCGAAAGCAACCGAGATCTTTGGGTTATTAACTTACATTTCAAGTTTCAACAAAATCGAATAAAAATTGTGACCTCTATAGGGTCCACAAGCTAAAAACGTGATCTTTCGTACAAACAGGGGCCAAAATCCATGAAGTTTTGTTCCGATACATGCCAATATCGAAAGTTTCGTCAAAATCGGAATCGGATAAGAACTGTGACCTGTAGAGTGCCCACAAACAAATTGTGCACGGACGGACGCATAAAAACATATGAAAATTATTATTATTATTACAAACTGCAGTGTTAGGCAGGAAGCACAGTGTGTTGGAATCTGTCTTAGTGTCTTGTTATTCGTGTCTAAATAGTCAACAAAGAAAATGGCGTCGAACGGATAAACTTATCTCTCCTAATAGAAGTTAAAAGGTCAGTAAAATACAAAGTTATTGATCGATTTGGCTGAAATTTGGTGTGCGATCATGGCTAGTCCCCCTTAACATCCCCTGAAAATTTCAAGTCTCTAGAATCACGGGAACTGGTAGAGGAGCGAAAGTACAATAGCGCCCAGCAGACAACATGTTTCATGTTGAGTTTTGTCCCCCCAATCGGAAATACATATCAGTTCATTTACTATGTCTGGATAAGCGCGACCGCAAAAAGCTGACTGTCGAATAATAATAATTATAGAAATGGAATGTGTTGTGAAATGTAGTAAAGAATGGATACTTTCGTACTTTCGATATAAATTTTGTCTTATTCCGAATTGAAAGTTGGTGAATCTATTGTAGAAATTTAAGGTATATCAGATAAAAATGATTCGAAATTTGATCGATTCCGAACCAGATTTTCGCTAATTAATTTTTTCATTGACTCACAATAGTGCCCAAAGGGGATCGCAAACTGTGATGCGAACCCAGTTATTTTGTTCCCTGCTACTCTTTCATTTATCAAGTTTTATTTTACATGAAGACTTTTATTAAAGCTTATACCTTGTCCAACTACTAATGAAAATTAATGCCAGGCTAGTGTCTGACAGTATCCCAGTGATGGGATTTGAAAATCTTTCTTGTCCGACAATTTTACCTAAAATAAGTGACATAACTCTTATCGTTATTTAAGCAGACAGTTTTAGACCACAAAAATCTTGTGTCAACAAAATATTCAAATTCGTACGTAATAAAAAAAATAGGTACGCCTTGTTATTATTTATATTTAATTCCTGTGCGGTATTCAAATTTATGTCAAAAATTTTCCTACCAAAAATTAAAAGTTGTAATACGATAGAATGAAAGCGTCATGCTAACTTCTGCCGACCCATACTTTTTATCAAATTCACGCCATTAATATTCCTCCAAAATGAACATATTTTTCAAAATCTAGGTTGACACTTTTTTCAGCAGAAGTCTGTTTTGACTAATATACAGATGTTGGTAAAAATATTTTTTTGGGCAGTAACCAACGCTCCATGATACTAATGATACAGAGCTAGCTACATCTGATTGCATGTGCTCAAAAGTGTTCACAAGCTAAAACCAGCGGTTGCCAGGCAAGATATGCCGACATTATGAAAGAGATGGATCAAGAACAAAAAAAAGAAATTTTTCGTACAATCAGGAGCCATAATCCAGGAAGTTATGGTCTGAAATGTATGAATATCGACATGGACTGATATATTTCGGATATAAAAATATATTTTATAATCAGTTCAAAACTGTGACCTCTACAGGGTCCACAACTTTGAAATACCAGATGTTTACACTATATGTGTACGAGGGGCGACCATTTTGTCCAGCAGTTTTGGTCTGAGTGTCACAAAATCAACCAAAATTACGGTGTAAGGGTGATATATATTTGAATGTTTATTTAAATCGGATAATAATTATGACCTCTAGAGGGACCACAAGCTAAAAACGCTATTTTTCTTACAATCAGCAGGGGCCATAATTCAGGAAGTTACGATCCCATATGTGTGAATATGGACAGGAACCAAGATCTTTGGGTTATAAACTAACATTTTAAGTTTCAACAAAATCAGATGAAAATTGTGACCTCTAGAGTGTACATAAGCTAAAAACATGATTTTTTGAACAATTAGGGGTCATAATCCATGAAGTTATGCTCCGATACGTGCCAATATCAAAAGTAACTGAGATCTTTGGGAGATAGACATATATTTCAAGTTTCGTTGAAATCAGATAAAAATTGTGACCTTATACAGTGTCCACAAACAAATTGTGGATGGACTGGGGCAACGTCTTTATTCTATTTAGATATTGATACTTCATATTGCTATAAACTAGCGTCAAGCAGATGAAAACAAGCATAGATGGTGTCAAATTTATTGTTATAAAATGGAAACAGTGCAAATGGCGGCTTTTCGCAGTATTTCCAAACTTAATTCTTGCATTTAGAAATGAATAATTAAATGTATGTGACGTGAATTTACCGAACATAAAATAGTTTTTCTTGCTACTTGTCTGCAAACATTTCGAGCCAGGGCTGATTTTTCAATTGAGAACCCCATCACGGTTTCACCAGAGATCGCATGACCTTGTAAAGGAAATGTGTTTCCTGTATAATATTTTTAGAAAATGGAGTAAATTTATCTTTATACTATAAACAGATGAAAACAAACATAGATGGTGTGAAATTTATTGTTATAAGATTGGCTGCGAGTAACTGAGCTACAGAGCGAAATTCAAGCAGTGCAAATGGTGGCTTTTCTCAGTATATTCTTGCTTAAATCTTGCATGGAAACAAATAATTAAACAAGACCGCCATGTTGTGCGACAGCACATGCAGAATCCCTTCACTCAGACATCTGAGACAGCACGTCAGACAGTGGGAACACACAGAAGACCCATCAGTACCAATACCAGGGCTAGAAATTCGACATTTTTTGGTGAGAATCTAAGGAGGATTCTCATATATGGCATCTGCGCGAATCCTCCAAATGTTAATTGATAATACTGTCTAAAAAACAAAATTGTGTTTATTGTGTTAATCTAAAACATCAAAATACAAGAACAATGATAAAAATAGAACAATCATATGGATTTTTTGGTAAAAACTTAAATCGTGTCAAAAGTAATATCCAGAAAATGCCTTAGTCAAAATAAGTTGATATGGCATCATAGAGCTGGGCGATATTTCGGTTTTTCGATATAAAACCGTAGCAGAAATAAAAACCGTCAAAAATACCGTCTTCAGAAAAAATTGAAAAACCAATTTAGTATTTTTGCATTGCATAATGCATTTTCAAGACAGTATGCGCTTGAATGAGAAAAAAACGATATTCCTAGGGTAAATGAATAGCATCCAATTGTATACCCGTAGTTTAAAAACACACACGGCCGAAAGAACACAAGCTATTTTTAAATATTTTAATGGGTTTTTTTGTGCATCCTTCATGTATATATTGTAATTTAAATAAAATATCATAATTAATATACTGGAAATTAAAAT